TGGATGTTGGTGTTTTAACTGAATTATGACTTGATTATCTAGTGGATGTTGGTGTTTTAAGAAAATTATGACTTTGATTATATGCACTACTGATATAAACTATACAGTTGCTTTTCTCATAATTCAGCTTATAAAGATTTGGGATGTTGGCTTTTTTGTCCCTTCAACTTGTCCATTTAATTATTCTCGAGTGATGCCTAATTTGTGAGCACTGAATAACATTGCTTTCCTATTTTTATTAATTTCAGAGCAGAATCATCACAGACTTATATATATATATATATATATATATATATATATATATATACATTTTCATTCTGTTTTTTAGGTTTTCAAACTTGCTTCAGATAAAGAAAGAAATTATCTTATAGTGGAAGTTGCGAAAATAAGCAACCATGGCATCTCGGTCTGCATCACAGGTTTTAATAAGTTGTGTTTTTAGTATTTTATATTTTATATTATATATGCTGTACCTAATATACTCGTATTATGTAAACAAGTCATTATAATTTTGAGTTCATTTTTACTTGTTGTACTGACATTCAGGTCTAGAGTCCAAAGAGAGGATCATATGCACCGGAAGAATTCAATGATATATGCAGAATATCTAGTTTAGACTATTTTTAGATGTAATGTATGTGTGTTAATTCTGTTGTGTTCCGAGCACTATTGTGACATTAAAATAAAAAATTGGTTTAATTTGTTAGAATTTTGCAGTGAGAACAAAATTTTGTTTCCCTATTTTTTTTACATTTCAATGAATGAATATTTGATGTTTGTATTTATACAGTCGTTTCAATACCTTCTAGATCTGGGAATCAAAATCAATGAAATAAATAAATTTACAAAAAAAAAAATCAGGGGCGCTTTTGTGCTACAAGCGCCACAAACAGAAATTAAAACAAAAACATTAGAGGCGTTTTTTGATCAGGAAGTGCCGCACGCACAAAAACTTATTCACTTTAGAGGCGCTTATAATTCCACAAGCGCCGCGCGTCCGGATACTTTTTAGGATTTGGAGGCGTTTCTCATTAAATAAGCGTCGCAGGCTTTTGGGAAAAAAGTAAAAAAATTAAAATTGGAGGCGCTTCCCAATTAAAAAGTGCCTCTGATAACGATTTGCGGCACTTTTTTTAGAGGCGCTTTAAAGCGCCGCGCGTGCCTAAAAAAAAGCGCCTCTAATCGACATTTTTCCACTAGTGCTAGTTCGTTATTACAGTTAGAACTCCATCAATTATAACCTTTTATTATTTTCTTTTTCTTTTTTTTTTTATATTTTTTTTTATTTTTATTATAACCCCAAATTAAAAATGCCCACTGAGTCTGCTTTTTTGGGTGTCATGCACTTTTAGCGGTTGATATGAAACGCCACGATAGAGCAGGGTGCCTTACACCTCAAAGAATAAAGATTGTGTGTGGAGAACTCATAATCTGGGTACTTTTTCTGTGGGAGTATCTTATTACTCCCAATTACTCCGTATAAAGAAAGGAACTTAATAAAAAAAACATTATAACTACAATTCAACTTCTTTATGAAATGCAAAAGAGATATTACATGAAATAGGACTAAAAAAGTTTAAAATTTCAAAATAGGGCTGCCATGTTTTTATTCCCAAAATAGGACTAATTACTGTCATGTTTTGGCAGTACCAGACTTCAAATATGATAGTATTTTCAAAACTTGGCAGCAATTACTCCTATTTTAGGAATAAAAACATGACAGTCCTATTTTGGAATTTTCAAACTCTTTTGGTCCTATTTCGGGAACTTTCCCAATGCAAAAGTCCACACTAAAATAGCTCATTTTTTGTGACTTTCTCCCAAAACATTACTGTTTATTGCCTGCCAACTTTAAAAATTATACACCTCAAGATTAAATTTGGTATCGGTTTGAATTCTTCTGTGGGAATACAGTAACACTTATCAAATGCATGGATGGCATATATATAATATATTATACGTACTTACGTAGCATAATTATTAGACTACTATACAAATCTTCGATCCTACTAAATTACTAATCAAGATAGAATGGGAAAGAAATGTGGCAAGCTAAGGTTGTTCCCTAAAGAATGGATCGAAATAGAGAAAATGGGGGAACAAGAAGAAACAGGTAATGACATTGAACTGACTTCATTAACCAAAGAAATCATTTTTATTCATTGTATAATTGTATTACACCTGACTTTTTTCTAGCAAGATAAACAAACCTAGCTTAACTTATTGCTAATTAAATATCGGATTTATAGTGGCTAACCGTTTCAATGTAGAAAGTGTTTTTCCCCCTCTTACAATTGGAGATCGAGCCTCATCATCAGCACTCTTCTTGCTTTGCATCCATCAAATTTCTAAGTTCTAGTTGCAACAATATCAGTCCACGTGTAGGACTTCAACACCTCTCCTCACAACCAAACACTTCATCTAAATTGTGTCGTCATTCATGTTTTTTTTATGTCATTGACCTTTTTAAATTATCACCATTTTTCATAGGGTCCCACACCATTATTATAGATAAATTTGTCTCTGATACAATATTAAGACATAGAGTTCCAAGGTAAACCTAATAGAAAGATAAGTTCATATCTTAATATAACACTTTATTAATTATATTCACCATTTTTCGGTGTGACACTTCAACATTAGTTGTGTATAGCAAAGTTAAACCATTACACCCTTTAGCTTGTATAATATAGTTGCATGTATTTCATCCAGACAAGGTTTTTATATATTTTCATGGGAGATTTTGGGCTTCCACCACATTTTTTTGGCTGATATTTACTTATCAGCCAATTTTTTCACCAAACACGTAAATTTTGCTTTCGCGCGTTGAATTGTGTAATAAGCAGAAAAAATAAGGTTGGAGTTACTTTTCTGGCTGAAGTTATTGTGGATGTTCATTTTAGCTATTTTTACATACTCCCTCGGTTTCTAAAAGATTGTCACAGTTTGACTTCACGATTATTAAGGAAATAAATTTACATTACTGTAGAGTACGCTACTTAGACACTGTTTGACATTGTTTGTCACTATTTTGATGTAGATTTCTTTGCCATATAAGGAAATAAGTGAAGTGTGACTTTGTTTTTGAAACATCCAAAAAAGGAAATTGTGACAATAATCTTTTGCAGACGGAGGGAGTATAATTTTTTTTTATTAATAAAATATAGGGGAAAGTACGAAAAAGGTATTTGTGGTTAGGCCCATTTTCAGATAGGGTCATGTGTTTCATTCTTTATCAAAATGGTTCATGTGTTTGAATTTCGTTATCAAAAGAGGGTCACGCCGTTAAAAACGTATGAAAAAGACCGTTAAAAGTAACTCCGATTTTCAAAAGTGTCCGAAAAATTAATAGAAAAATACTTGAAGGTGCACCTCAATAAGACGGTCGCTAGACTATCTTTCTTTTTGGTTTTTAGCCACCCTTGTCACCGGAAATTCCACCGGAAAAGTGATATTAGCGGAATCGTTTTTAAAAAATAATTCAAACAGATCTGAAAAATCCAAAGGCGAAGGTGGTTTGGAGGTCAGCTTGACAAGGCGCACCTTACAGTATTTTTCTTTTAATTTTTCGGGAACTTTTGAAAATCGGAATTACCTTTAACTGTCTTTTTCAGACGTTTTTAACGGCGTGACCCTCTGGTGATAACGGAATTCAAACACATGAACCTCTTTGATAAAGAATGAAACACATGACCCTATCTGAAAAAGGGCTCAACCACAAGTACCTTTTCCGTACTTTTCCCTAAAATATATTTTAAAAATAATTTTTTCTTAAATCAGTAGAATCAGCCAATGCAGCCACTTCAGCCAGAACTTCATAAATTTCAGCAGAATGAGCAGATTTTTGTGCTAGCAAACGGACTCTACGACAGTGGCGGAGGGAGGGGGTGGCCAGGCTAGGCCTTGGCCCAGGGCATTTTTTATTTTATTTTATGTTATATATATTATTTAAATGTTTTTTTTAGAAATGGGCCCAGTCCAAAAATAAAACTGGCCCAAGGTAGAAAGGCCCAATCCGGAAAAAAAATCCACCTTTAATTGTAGCTCCCGTAATCGCCCAGCCCCTTGGCAGCAGGTAAGTTTTTTATTTTACTCCGTAATTTAAGTAGCTAATTCTCCATGACTTGGAAGTTGGAATCGTGATTCTTGAGATGGAGTGTTGGGCTCTGACATGCCAAAATGTGTAGTGTGAAATGGTGTAAAAATGTGAATGAAAATGATGTTTTAATTGGCTTGTAACGATATAGTATAGAGTAAGTGAGTATCGTTCCGCTAGAGAATGGCTCAAAAAGAGAACTAGAATTAGTGATTGATTTTTAGCTAATCACAAATTGATACATTTTGCAATGGAGCTAAGTGAACAGATCTTTGTTTGTTTTGTTTTTTATGATTACAGAATTGCTAAATGAGTAAAATAAATCACAATACTTGGTAATTTAACAATTAATGATATAGAGAAAATTAGGCTTGGGCTAAGAGTAATTTTATTTTCCTGTTCATAATAATAAAGATTTAACTGATTAACTTGGTTACTTTTAGGTGTGTGAAAGATTTTCAAATGGTAATCTTCTAATCGTTCCCACGACTTAGTTGATTACACTATCTTAAATTAATTCCGCTCCCGCGGTAATTTTATTAAAACAGTAAAAAGTACAAAATCAAATTATCCTAAATTCCTTAACACTTCCGTGTAGCAATTTAGTGGGTGAATTAACTAAAGGGATTTTTAATGAAACTTCACTCCCGTGATAATATTCATTTTCCAATATAATGTATTTAGCAGATTAGAACATTCAACCCAACACCCCTAAAATTAACCAAGTAAAAATTTTAACCAATTATTATCATATGAACATTAACAGTAAAATTTACATCTTGCCCAAACCTAAACTAATTTAGTTACACATAATTACAGTAGACAATATAGAAGTAAAAATTCATGCTAGGCATATAATTAAATTAACAGATTAAAGAAATTAAAGTAGTGTTTAAATAAGAACCTGAAGGCATAAATATTCAAGAACATAGAAGAGCTGGAACAGAAAAGATTGAAATCCTCAGATTAAGCTGGAACTGATTAACTTCGAACTGATATCTCCAAATGAACTTTATTGTTGAAATATATAGAACTGAAATTCTGGAATGGAAATTACAAACTGAATTTTTACAGAAAGTGTTCTTGAAAGAATCACTTTTATTTTATTGCTACTACTATGAACAAAGCTAAAGAAAAGAAACAAGGATGATTTCTATCTACTTGGTTGTGTTCTTTGAAGCTCCTGAATAACCCCTTTATATAGTAGCAAAAGAAGGGTGTAGCTCATAAATATCTCCGAATGAAGATAAAGATCATTTAATTTGGACGGCCATTGATTTCAATCTTCACCAGATGTGATTGCCAATTTCTCATTTTTCTTCCTGCAAATAGCACCGGCCACTGTTCTGTTGTGCATTTTTCTTCGTCGGCTGCTGTGCTCCTCTGTTAGGCTAATGAAAGATGATGAAGACAGCTTTGGTTCCAAGTGGATGCAATACAATTATTTGATCTCAATTTGTTTTCTTCTTGAGATTTCTTCTACGGTGGAGCCTTATTCACAATAATGGAGTGACTAATGTTGTCAGCTTGGCTCTTTGTTCGCCACTTCTTTATTTGGCCGGTTAGCTGTTTGATCAGTTAACTGGTCAAACAGTTAACCGGTACATTTTATTGTGGACAGTCTGATTTATTCTGAAATGAACTTCGCGTCTCTGTATAAATATTTCGGAGATAAAGTTAGGACTCGCTTCACTTTGATGATTTTTTCGTCTTCACTCGGGAGTAATATTTATTTCTTTTCAGAAATTAATATACGTTCCGAATTATCCTGAAACTCAAAAATATACCAAAACAAGTGCAATACCTTAAAATGTCCAAGATGATAAAGATCAATCCTTTTTATTTAAAAATGAGAAATAAAGTATTAAAAGTGTGACAAAACAAGATCGTAAATATGGTAAATTAGGAGTACATCAACTCCCCCATACTTAAGATTTTGCTTGTCCTCAAGCAAAAATATTTACATTTCACACAAGCAACCAAGCATGCAAAAAAATGAATTGCCAAATCATATGTGTAATCCTCAAATCATGCATACTTTCCTTTCACTCCACCTGGTCAATCAAATTCCTTTGACATGTCACAAAATAAGAGTAGTGAGAATCATAAAAATATTTTGCATATCATCTCAAAAGTTTGGGTCAAATCTCAACTCGAACAAACACAAAGTGTGTGGTGTGAAAATGGAATCTAGCTTCGTTTGTTCAACCATGCAAAATTATGCAAAATAAGATTTTCCTATCAACTTAGTTCAGACAAAACACAATTAGATCAATTAGGACTTTTAACATTGGGTTATAATGGGGTCTGTGGGATAGGCTTATGAACAAAGGGAATTAATGAGGAAACAAAAGAAATGAACTTGACATAAATTTAACAATATTAGAGAGGTACTAAGTTGTGAGTAGGAGCTTTTGACAATAATCTATACAACACTTGTTATTTTTAACAGTTAGGGGTAGTAACTAGTAAAAAGAGTAAATTAATGTACAAGAAAAATATACAAAAGAGAGAAGCATATACATGGATATTTAGCCTTGTTTAGATTTTTTTTTTCATTTTCTTTTTTTTTTCTTTTTTTTTTTTTTTTTGTTTTTGATTTTTTTGTTTTTGTTCAAGGCTTTTCAGTGCTTCTAACCATAAGAATTTACAAGAATAATATGTACAATGATGATACAACAAGAACAACTACCCCTATAAATGAATATTAACAACTAAGTAATCACAAAAGTGTAATTGAAGCTCCCAAATGTAAATAACACTCTCTAAACTCATTAAAATTTATGCAAGTTCATTCTAGGGTGGTTGGAAAGTGTTTGGCTTTTAGGCTCAGGGTCACATATAACAGGTTTTTATGAAAGAAAATGAGAAAAACAGGGTTAAGCGTATAACGCTTATAAAAAAAAATGGCTCAAAGGGGTTGAACAAGGGATATTTATCACATGGGTAAGGCTAGGTATATGGGTTTATGAAAAATGGCCTATATCATTTCCTAATGTGCCAAGTCAGAAAATCATGTCAAGGAAAATAAAAGCACATAGCACTCTTGTTTTACACAATCTTAAACATATTGAACAACAGTTTCACTAGATAACCATTTACGTGCATGAGATGTTTTGTGTTTGTACAAAGTTTAAAATTTGACCAAAATTTTACTCAACGCTCAAAAATTATGATTCTCAATCCAAATATTAAGAGACAAGTCCAGCCAACAATCCACATACCATGTGAAAGAATAGAATGCATGATTTGAAAGTTAAACAGATGATAAGGCAATTCACAAACAAACAAACATGCATATTCTCCCCCCACACTTAAGATGAAACATCGTCCTCGATGTGACAAATATATACAGGACGGGTGAGTAAATGGGTGGGAGAATAAAATTATTCAATGCAAACACACAAGCAAAACACACATTCAAATGAAAGTAAATAAACTTGGGTTGCCTCCCAAGAAGCGCTATTTTTAACGTCGTGTGCCCGACATTACCTGATTGGTTTACTCATACGGAGGATGATCCAGTCAAACAATGAGTTTCTTCTTTGCGTCCTCTCCTTGAGAATATTTCTTAACTCTTTGGCCACTGATAGCAATTTTCCTCCCTTCCTCCGCTTTTTCACTTCCTTCCCCTCGTGAAAGCTTTTACAACTCTCTTTCTTTTTTACACGCTCCACTAACTCTTCATCCTCATGATCTTTTTTGACTTCCTCCACAACACAAACTTCCATAGGATCCTTGTGAAAGAATCCCATGAAGTCTATCACGGATTCATCGGCTATATCAACCCTCCAACAACTTTCCACACATGCAGGATTTTTCGTCGTTTGGAAAATATTAAACTCAACCCTTTCATCCCCCACTTCAATTTTTAATGTACCCTTTTTAACATCAATGATGGCACCAGCAGTGGCCAAGAAAGGCCTTCCCAATATGACAGGTACTCGCTCATCTTCATCCATGTCTAGGACGACAAAGTCACAAGGGATGAAATATTTTCCAACCTGTACAGGAATGTCTTCAAGAATACCAACAGGGTACTTAACAGATCGGTCAGCAAGCTGAATGGTCATTGAAGTAGCTTTGGGAATACCAAGACTAAGGCGCTTGCTCATAGAATAAGGGATAAGGCTAACACTAGCCCCGAGGTCACATAAAGCTTTGTTGACCATGAACCCTCCAATTATGCATGGTATAGTAAAGCTACCTGGATCCTTCAATTTTTCTGGAAGTTTCTTCTGAATTATAGCACTGGATCCCTCGCTCATGGCTACTGTAGCTTTCTCCTCAAACTTCTTCTTGTTTGACAGAATTTCCTTCAGAAATTTGGAATATGAAGGCATATGTTTTAGAGCATCAAGAAGTGGGATTGTTGTGTTAAGTTGTCCGATCCATTTAAGGAATTTATCCCTCCTCTCATCAATTGTGTTCTTCTTTGCTCTATGAGGAAATGGTAAAGGTGGAACATATGGTTGTACTACCTTTTTCTTGCCTTCATGTGAGTGAGAATTCAGATCTTCTTCATTGTTCTCCTTTAGTGGTGAAGTCTCTTTTTCAGGTATCTTCTCTTTCTCAACTACAAGTGGTGGATCAGAAAGTTGTTTTCCACTCCTTGTAGTGATTGCACTGACATTCTCCCTAGGATGTTCAGAGTAGGCAGGCAACTTGCCTTGAGCTTTGCTAGTAGATGGTGAAGCAAAACTAGCAATCTGGCTCTCAAGCATTTTGTTGTGAGCTTGAATTTGATTAAGTTGAGCGGTGAGTTGAGAGAATTGATTAGTGATACCTTGCATCATTCTCTGGAAGTCATTAACTCCAACAAATTGTTGTTGTTGTGGTGGTGGTGGTAATTGTTGTTGAGGTGGGTACCCTTGCTGATTTTGAAATCCAGGAGGTGTTGGTTTGGATGGATATGGTGAATTTGTTGCACCTGATGGGTTACTCCATGAAAATCCTGGATGTGTCTTCCCTTGAGGATTATAGTTTCCTTGATATGGTACTTGAGGTCTACCATATATAGCATCGGCCTGTTCTACTGTGGGGCCAGAAGGAACGTTTTGTGTAAGTTCTAGAAGATTGCATTCCTTAAAAGAATGCCCTCCTCCACAGAGTTCACAGAACAAAACTTGAGCTAAAGATGATGATGGATTTGTTGATGTGCTAGAAGTTGATGATGATTGCTTCTCAGTGAGCTTTTGGATCATGTTTGTGAGAGAATCAACCTTTGCTGTTAAAGCTGTTGTTTGGTCAACCTCATAAATTCCCGCTCCTAGCTTTTGAGTGGATCTTTCAGAATACCATGATGCACTGTTGTTGCAAATTTTCTCAAGCATCTCTTTTCCAGTTTGAGGATCAAGCTCCATGAAAGCTCCATTAGCAGAGGCATCCACAACAATTTTGGAATTATCATGTAATCCTTCATAAAATGAGACAATGAGATCACCCATGCTCATATTATGATGTGGATATTGAACTTGAAGATCTTTAAATCTCTTCCATGATTCATAAAGAGATTCTGATGGTTGTTGTCTGAATTGTTGGATCAGTTTCTTCATTTTTGATGCCTTAGAAGGAGGATAGAACTCCTTCATGAAATCTCTATGCAACTTCTCCCATGTGTTGAAATAACCGGATGGTTTAGAGTTTAACCAACTCAATGCTTCATCCCTCAGTGAGAATGGAAACAATCTGAGTCTGATGGCATCAACAGAGGCTCCATTAAGCTTAAGAGTTTGGAGAACTCTCAAGAATTGCTTCACATGGCTCGTCGGATCTTCATTCTTTGATCCGCCAAATTTGTTGGCTGAGACCAATGAGATAAGTGCTGGTTTGATCTCAAAATTTGCTGCATCCACGCCTGGATAGAGAATGCTATCTTGTTCCTCAATTTCACCTGCAACATAATCAAGAAGTCTTCTGCCTTGTTGTTGTCTCATGAATTGGCCTTGACCTTGTTGATTATGTGGGTGTTGGTAGTATTGGTCATATGGGTGAGGTTGGTATGGGTGCATAAATGGAGGAGGTGGGTAAGGATATGTATATGGATATGGTGGAGGTTGGTTTTGGTGATTTTGGTAGTTTTGGTAGGGGTGTGGTGGATAAGGGTTGGGTTGTGTTAGAGGAGGAATTTGTTGGAAATTTTCAAATCCAGGGGGTCTTTGATCTCCAAAGAAAGGATTATGTCTATCTTTTGGAGTATCAATGGGTGTATTTATAGGGGTATTTTGTGGTGGCGTAGGATTTGGATTTGGATTTGAAATTTGGTTTTGGCTATTTGGATTATTGGGATTGTTGTGAAGGTCCTCCATGATCTGATTTGGAATTTTAAGTTCAAGGATTTGGGCCTTTCTTGTTATCCTTAATTCTTTTTCAAAATCAAGGTTAAGTGGTTGCAATCCTTCACTCCCTTGAGAGCGAGTATGCATACACTACTTTTTTTTTTGTTTTTTTTTTACAATGGGAAACTAAAAACAAATGATGATAACAGGAAATAAAAACACTTAGTCTCCAAATAAATAAAAACAAACACTAATATTAACTAATAATCAATCAGTAAAACTATGCCATTCCCCGGCAACGGCGCCAAAATCGTGACATGCCAAAATGTGTAGTGTGAAATGGTGTAAAAATGTGAATGAAAATGATGTTTTAATTGGCTTGTAACGATATAGTATAGAGTAAGTGAGTATCGTTCCGCTAGAGAATGGCTCAAAAAGAGAACTAGAATTAGTGATTGATTTTTAGCTAATCACAAATTGATACATTTTGCAATGGAGCTAAGTGAACAGATCTTTGTTTGTTTTGTTTTTTATGATTACAGAATTGCTAAATGAGTAAAATAAATCACAATACTTGGTAATTTAACAATTAATGATATAGAGAAAATTAGGCTTGGGCTAAGAGTAATTTTATTTTCCTGTTCATAATAATAAAGATTTAACTGATTAACTTGGTTACTTTTAGGTGTGTGAAAGATTTTCAAATGGTAATCTTCTAATCGTTCCCACGACTTAGTTGATTACACTATCTTAAATTAATTCCGCTCCCGCGGTAATTTTATTAAAACAGTAAAAAGTACAAAATCAAATTATCCTAAATTCCTTAACACTTCCGTGTAGCAATTTAGTGGGTGAATTAACTAAAGGGATTTTTAATGAAACTTCACTCCCGTGATAATATTCATTTTCCAATATAATGTATTTAGCAGATTAGAACATTCAACCCAACACCCCTAAAATTAACCAAGTAAAAATTTTAACCAATTATTATCATATGAACATTAACAGTAAAATTTACATCTTGCCCAAACCTAAACTAATTTAGTTACACATAATTACAGTAGACAATATAGAAGTAAAAATTCATGCTAGGCATATAATTAAATTAACAGATTAAAGAAATTAAAGTAGTGTTTAAATAAGAACCTGAAGGCATAAATATTCAAGAACATAGAAGAGCTGGAACAGAAAAGATTGAAATCCTCAGATTAAGCTGGAACTGATTAACTTCGAACTGATATCTCCAAATGAACTTTATTGTTGAAATATATAGAACTGAAATTCTGGAATGGAAATTACAAACTGAATTTTTACAGAAAGTGTTCTTGAAAGAATCACTTTTATTTTATTGCTACTACTATGAACAAAGCTAAAGAAAAGAAACAAGGATGATTTCTATCTACTTGGTTGTGTTCTTTGAAGCTCCTGAATAACCCCTTTATATAGTAGCAAAAGAAGGGTGTAGCTCATAAATATCTCCGAATGAAGATAAAGATCATTTAATTTGGACGGCCATTGATTTCAATCTTCACCAGATGTGATTGCCAATTTCTCATTTTTCTTCCTGCAAATAGCACCGGCCACTGTTCTGTTGTGCATTTTTCTTCGTCGGCTGCTGTGCTCCTCTGTTAGGCTAATGAAAGATGATGAAGACAGCTTTGGTTCCAAGTGGATGCAATACAATTATTTGATCTCAATTTGTTTTCTTCTTGAGATTTCTTCTACGGTGGAGCCTTATTCACAATAATGGAGTGACTAATGTTGTCAGCTTGGCTCTTTGTTCGCCACTTCTTTATTTGGCCGGTTAGCTGTTTGATCAGTTAACTGGTCAAACAGTTAACCGGTACATTTTATTGTGGACAGTCTGATTTATTCTGAAATGAACTTCGCGTCTCTGTATAAATATTTCGGAGATAAAGTTAGGACTCGCTTCACTTTGATGATTTTTTCGTCTTCACTCGGGAGTAATATTTATTTCTTTTCAGAAATTAATATACGTTCCGAATTATCCTGAAACTCAAAAATATACCAAAACAAGTGCAATACCTTAAAATGTCCAAGATGATAAAGATCAATCCTTTTTATTTAAAAATGAGAAATAAAGTATTAAAAGTGTGACAAAACAAGATCGTAAATATGGTAAATTAGGAGTACATCAGGCTCTTTTACGTATACCAGTTTTTACAATGTAAAATGTGAATTTCTTCTAGTTTTGGTGAATAATTTTTGTCTTGTGTATTCATTTGTGAAAATGAAAATGAGGATTCTGTTTTTTAACACACTACTATGAATAATGTGATTCAAAATAATATATTGGTTATTTTATTAATTGTTGTCATTTATTCTTCTAGTTTCTTCTAGTTTTGGTGAATAATTTTATTATTAGTTATTTTAATAATTGAGCAAGATCCGGGAAAACGGAAAAAAGACGGGGTACAAGTCATCAAACAGACATGGACTAGCGAAAGAAAACGGGGTATAAAGATGAGATTAATATAAGCTTATAGTTTTCATTTAGCCTAAATTTTTTATGTGGTGTTTTTAGTTTACAACCGGCCCAGCCTGAACCCTCATCCTGGCTCCGCCCCTGCTCTACGAGTTCTTATTAGATTGACAAATCAGATTAAACCTTTCAAATATGTTCTTCACTTAGTCCTGGATGCAGAAGGACCAACTCTATAACCATGCACTGAATATAAATCCTTAGAGAAAAGAAAACATACCGGTTTAGCTGATGAATATAGAGAGAGATAATCGATTAGTGCTATATTGATCTGAAGTTGCAAAATTATTAACTAGAAAAATTTATGATCCAGTTGCATAGTCCCTCTCTTAGACGTTTAAGAGAGCCGCCTTAGATATGTGCACGTAGGAGTGCAAGATATCCATCACTCAATAATACTCGTATAATATAGACGGGGCAGACATTATTTCTATTTTGTATCTTTAATATGTGCAGTGGGAGTAGTCAGCTTCATATGTAATGCAACAAAGCTTAGCTTCTTGTCACACTAAAAGACGTACCACCTCCGTCCCAATGGACTTTGCACTAACTGAGTTAGGTGAGAAATAAGAATAGTAAAAATTATGTGGTTGAAGATTGTGCAGAGGAGAGAAAAATGAGCAGAACCAAAAAATAGTTACTTGAATGGGAAAGTGGCAAAATTTTTTGGAACAACCAAAAAAGGAAACTTGACAAAATCCAATGGGATGGAGGGAGTATTTTTTAGTTCCGGTATTTTTGAGGACCTATAATATAAAAGATCTAAAATGTTCAAATTTGAAGCTTAAAATGAATTTGATAATATTTTCCAAACATAGATCATGAGTTGTCATATACGTAGTACATGACTACGTAATACGAAGTAAATAAAATATAGTTACATTACAAATGGCGGTAATATAATGCATACTTCTTCCGTACTCTATTGGTTGCTACAATATGATTCAACACAATATTATAGAGAAAAAGTAGAGATAGTGAATAGTGTCAAAGAATAGGAGAGTGGAAAATATGAAACACATTTCAAGATGGAAAAGTAGAAAAAAAGAAATGTTGATTAAGTACTCCCTATTTTTTAAGAGAAAACTTACAAACGGAATAATTAAAGTGTAGCAAAATTTAAAATAATCATAAAAAGAAAATGATTACATAATTATTAGGTTCTTTACCAAGTAGTCTCTAACTATAAGATTAAGAGCCCGTTTGGAGAACTCTGTTTTCGGCTTATCAGGCTTATCAGCCAGCTTTTTCACCAAACACGTAACTTTTACTTTCGCGCGCTAATTGTGTAATAAGCCGAAAAAGTAAGGTTGGAGTTACTTTTCTGGCTGTATTGGCTGAAGTTACTGTAGAGGACCATTTTAGCTATTTTTACATATAATTTTTTATTTAATTTATTAATAAAATATATTTTTAAAATATTTTTTTCTTAAATCAGCAGAATCAGCCAAAACAGCCACTCCAGCCAGAATATCATAAATTTCAGCAGAATCAGCCAAAACAGCCGATTTTGATGCTACCAAACGGGCTCTAATTTGAGGCCCAATTAAAATATTCCAATCTAACATCATTAGTAAATGGGATAATCCAAGACTTTATTTGTGAACATGTCACTCATCCAGAATATGTGGGCTTTTATTTAGGGAGTTATTTGAGAATAATGAATTATAATATCATATTAAGACTTAAAATTACATTAGAAAAAATTAACCTCATAAAGAGCTGATGAGAGACATATATATAAGCTAATATCTCTGGTGAAATGACTTATCATGTGTTTGTATCTTCACATGTTTCGCTAATGGAGTTTAATTGGTGTGCCTTTCTCTTTTTCCCATGCAAGGAGCTGATCAAGGATTAAATTGCTAGGTGCATGTGGTGTAGGGTGGATGATTAATACTAACCCTACCAATTCAACAATCGGAAAAGAAACAAAACCTGATAATCATGAATGTGGGACTAGATGGAAATATCTCATCTTCTCTTCAATCCCGGCCCCATAATGACTATATTGTATATGGCCTTTATTTTCTGAGGCTATCTTTAAAAGATGTAATGTTTCGTTCAAACAATGAAATAGAAAGACTAAAACACTCAATTTAATTATTTTTTCGATATCATATATTTCATTTGTTGACTTGTTGTAATGCACTTCGGCACTTCCATATATATTTAAAGGTTACATTGAAAGTTATGCTCCGTATTACATTTTAGTTAGCTTTAAAATTCTTAAACCACAATTATTTCAAGGAAAAGCAACCATTTAAGTGGTGAAAAATAATCAAGACATGCAGATGACTCAGTGGGATTAAGAGACTATTCTAATTAATAACCTTTATTTTGTCGTGAACTCATTTATTATATTAAGGAAAAAATATCAAACACTTCATTCTTCTCGGAGAATGAATGAAATAACCGATAAGACAAATCATAAATTCATAAATATACATCTATTTTACCCCTTAGAATTGGTAATCCAAATATTTGGTAATCTGGATTAGAACAAGAATGACGACAAATTCCTCCCAAAACCTCCTTAAACTCTTGAAGAGTGAAAGTCAAGTGGGTTGCGTGTTTGATGTTTCATGTCGGCCACGTGTCACGGCTTTGGCCGTCAGATGGTGAACAGACGGAACCTCTTTGATTGGTTGGTCGGGTTGACAAGGAAATATGTTGGAGATGAGATGTTGGTTGTTTTGGGGCCAAGCTTTGCTAATGTCACAATCCTAGATCCATAGTCCTTCCTTAATTATGCTTTAATTGTTAAGCTCTTTTTGTATTCAAAAGAATAACAAACACGAATTAGACAATTAGAAGGATATATATGTTCATATATGCTTTACTTAGCACATTTGGGACATATCATATAAAAAAATTCGATGATATTATATTTTAAAAATTCAAACCAAAACCATTTAGATAGACGAATAGAAAAACTTCTGATAATACCTACTATAACGACTTGTTAATTTTTGTTTCACCAAGACATAACCCATTCACACACCAGATTTCTAGCGAATTGAATGTATAACTACATTACCTACACATGTGAAATTACGAAAATAGAATATTTCATTACCTATAACTTAAGCCTAAATTTGAACACTCGATGAAGGGGTGGTATATATACTAGTACTAGTAGTATCGAACGTTCGTTGCTTCTCAGATTAGAAACGGTTGGAATTAAAAACATCTTAATGTTTGTATTTCAACAAACATGAGTATTTACTCCTATTTAGTGCAACTTCTGCATAGTAAATCAAAATTGGAGAATGATGACTATGAGGAAAGATACGTTTGTAGAATTTGGTGCATGATTCATGTTTATGAAGTCATTGTGAGTTTAGAGTACGTATAATCGTTCTAGATTAAGGACTCGTTTGTTATGATGTAAAGTAAACACTTTGCAAGTAAAGTGTGAGGATATAAACATTTTGCATCGTTTGTTTTAACTATTTAATGTAAACTTTACCCATGACACTTTCGAAATAACATTTTACATATTTTACTTGGGAGGAGGGTGATAAACTACTTTACATCATTTTATATGAGGCAGAATAAATATATGGAGTATTGAATTACGATTTCAACTTAAGCGGCTAGATCGACTTTGAAGACCCGAGTACGTGAGGCGGCAAAGCAAAAAATTGGCCGCAAGAAAGTCGTGTCTTCTCCATCTGCGTAATTCTACATGGTTACGAAATTTTGTATGCTATCAAGTCCCCAACCCCTACTTCTCTATCAATATTTTACTTTCCATATTTTGCAATCAAGATGCCAACCATTAACCAACCAATAGAGAACGGCGCCATGGCCAGAAAGATGTGCTTTCACACGTACTGATGAGGCACGGAATTGTGTAATCCTTTTATAAATATTTTACATGTAAAGTAATTCTTCCAAGTAAACATCGTAAAGAGTTTGCGTGTAATTTAAAAATAGGTTACACAGATAACCAAATGATGTGTTTTTATTTTACGTGCAAACCATTCACAACCCTAAATTTTACACACAATCATTTTGCATGCAAAGTTTTAATGTGTGAACTACCAAACGGGCTCTAAGTGTTGATTTCTTATGAATTTGTATAACGGTAAATCTATGATTGCTCTATTTTTTTATTTGCCAAATCATTCTAACCTATTATAGTATATGTTCTGTTAAGGCCAACGTCCTTGAACTGGGATGAGATTCGAACCTACCTCCTCCTTGGAAGTGTCACAGTGATGCTATCAGATCACAAAGTACTTGACATCTAGAAATGCTCTATTGAAAAATCGAAACTCCACTATTATTAACTAAAAATGCTTATACGGTCTCAAACAAAAACAAATTGTAGAATCAGAAGCAAAAAAAGGAACAAAAAATTTATTCTCACTACATGAATCAGTAGACTCACAATTCAAAAATTAAATATTTCTCCATTGCAGAATCTATAAACACATGTAGAGGTAAAAATGAATAAACCTAATAATACTACGAATAGGAAATTTGAAACAGCAATTTCAAAGAAATAGGGCAAGAAGAGGAATAAACTTAGGGTCTGTTTGCAACTGCTTTAAAAAAAGCATTTCTCAGCTTTTGGCTTTAAAAAAGCACTTATTTCCCAAACACTACAACTTTTATTTTTCTCGGCTTCCGCGTCAAAAGTGCTTTTACTTTTTCTATTACACAAAAAGTACTTATTTTACCAAACACTACCCACTTTTACTTTTCGAAATCACTTTTTTCTCAAACACTATCAACTTTTATTTAATCACTTCTCCCAATTTCATTAAAAAAACACTTTTTTAAAAGCAGAAGCTGTTGCAAACAGACCCTTATAAGAAGTGAGGATGGGAACGTATGAGATGAATAGTGAACAAGACAAAATTAAAGTTAATACAAAAAATACTACGTATTTGATGACTTGAGTTGTAAGTTTGTAACAATATAATAGAGTTTTTGCCACTTTTGGTCCCCTACTATTAAGTCATTGACACTTTTGGTCCTCAACTTTTAATTGTTCCATTTTTAGTCCTCGACTATTGTGCTAGAGACACTTTTAGTCCCCGACTTCAAGGTTTCCCACATTTAGTCCCTTGACTATTATCATATTGACACTTTTAGTCCTCCCATTATGATTTACACAATAAATGAAGGACTAAAAATGACACTATTATAACAGTTGAATGATCAAAAGTGTCACTTTAATGAAAGTTGAAGGACTAAATATGGAAAATTTCAAGAACGGGTAACAAAAGTGTCTCTAACACAATAGTCGAGGACAAAAAATGGAAAAAATCAAAGTCGATTACCAAAAGTGTCAATTACATAATAGTCTGAGGACTAAAAGTGGCAAAACCTTCAATATAATACAAACACATAAATAGGACAAGTGAGCGTTTTTAACGTTGATCTTACATTTGAGATTGAGAAGTAATTTTTCCTAAAATGGTTCCATCTTTTCTTTTTTATCCGTTCTATTAAGATTGTCTAATACTAAATTTT